GCCATGGGTAAACTGTAGCTGCTTTTCACTTGCTCAGCCTCGTTAATGCTATTTCCCCCTACTCCAGTCTGTGCTCCAAATCACAACCGTAGTGACCCCTGAAAACAGATTACTCTCTTGCTTAAAATACTCTCACAGCTTTCCACCGCTCTCTGAATAAATTCAAACTCTAGTGGAAACATGATGGGTTAATTTCTTTCTTGCTATTGTAACAAGTGACCATAAACTTACTGTTTAAAAGAATGCAAATGTACTATTTTATAGTTCTGGAGGTCCTAAATCCTAAAGCCAAGTGCTACTAGGCTGTGCACCTTCTGCGCATCTTATTTTTCCTCCTTTTCTAGCTTCTAGAGGTCCTCCGCATTTCTTGGCTTGTGGCTTTGTCCTCTATATTCAAATCATGTCATTGCAACCTCTCCCTCCATCTTCACATATACCATGTTTACCTCCCACCTTTAGTCCTGTGGGACCCTCTGAATTATCAGATTGACTGCTAGGGTAACACCTGAGTTTAAATAACCCTTATGTTATATCACCATCCTGTGTCATTCATCTTATTCTATCGTATTTCACAAGAAGAAGGATAAAGACAGTACAATAAGATATTTTGAGAAAGTTCATGTTCACACATTCTATTATTGTTAATAAGTCTTCCATTTTATGGTTGTTATTAATCTCTTATCATGCCTAATTTGTAATCAGAAAAAATATAGAGGGTTGGTGTTATCTGTGGTTTCAGGTACTCCCTGGGTCTTGGAACATATTTCTTGCAGATGAAAGGAGAGGGACACTCCATTTACTAGAAATTGATACCTTTCTAGTCACTTTAAGTGAATTTTGCTCTTTTTATTACATACTTGAAAATGAACACATCCACACTGTAAAGCCATATTACAGTATACGTACAAAACATCACATTCTCATTGTTACAGGTAACTGTCAAGATCATACCAAACATTTATTCAATGTATTTAAACCCATGTATATGTGCAAATCTATCTAGAGACAGTTTTAATATGAAAAGAATCCTTTTTAGTACTCAAATTCTTAATAAATTTTTTTCATAATAGCCCATTTTTCTTTTAATAGTTCCAGTCCTCGACATACTCTGCAGTGTAACAATTATTTTTATTTTAATGTCTTTTTCTGGTTGCCAATTTCCTAAGATGTTAATATTTAAAGGGGATTGAAAATGATCAAACAAATGTAATTATTATGCCTGGAAACATACCAATAAAAAAAGGTTTTCTGTATAAATTCCAAAACACTTTTTGAGGGAGAATTTTTCCTCACATATCTAGCAATCTTTTGTTGTGTATTCAGTCTCAACATTCAGAGTCTCTGCCTGTCTGCTTTTCTCTCTACTTTGGCCTTGGCTGTTTCTGGAAGTTGCAGTGAAGGTGTGGGCCACGCATTGAGGTGTGGAGGCATTGAGGTTTGTCTTGGGTTATAAAAACCCCAGGTTCTCCTTGGGTTCAATAGCTACCAGGCTTTCTGGTTTCAGCCCTTACATTTACTCTCTGGGTCTGACAGGTAATAAATGCCAGGGATGGTAAACTGAAGAGGTTTGGTGATGGGCCAGTTGCTTAAATAAAATGTGCTTCCTCACAGTGGGCTTCACTGGACCACCTACATCAGAATCGTGGGGAGTCATTAAAAATGTGATGGCTTGAGGCCAAATGTAAACTCAGAATATCTGTAGAAATGAAATGTGATCCTGGGGAGGAGGTAACAATGTAATATATGGTTAGCGAGCTCCAAGAATTCTTAAACAGATTGGAGCTGAGAACCACTGTCTCCATGATCCACTAGGTCCGTTTAATCAGTTCTGAGAAATTTCTGCCTTTTCTACATCCACACAACTGGCTTTCCTCTGGCTTATTCCACCATGGAGTTGATCCTCTGACATCCTTTTTATGCATTATCTTCCAGGAATTTCTAAACATTTCTCACCATCTACAGTAGTCCTTCTTGTTAACTTTATCTATCTTTATTCTGATACACTGTACTTACATATATTTTCATACATATGAAAGTTATGAAAATATGTTTTATATCTATGTAGACACTTAAAAGGAAAAAGACTACTTCACAGCCTTCCTTTTTTCATTATTTGAAAAAATCCTCACCTAATTAATCTAGATATTATGTATTTAAAAATAAAATTTGTAGAAAATTTCATAGACTCTTCAGAGCACCATTAACGCTCTGCCACTTAGCAAGGACTACTGTTGCCACCTAGACATTCACTAGAACCTTCTTCCTGGCCATGAGTCCCAATTACTATCTACTGTCAGGATAAATGCCCTGGGACTCGGCTAATTTAGGTGGTAGTGTTGCATTTACCAGGGATTCATTTAGAAAAGAGAATGTAAAGGTTTTTAGCCAAAAAGATATAAGGAGAAGGCCATTTGGTGGCTTGTGGGAATTTTTTTCCTTGTTAGTAACATCAAGATATAGTGTCTGGAGCTGAAACCATTTCCTGATTGCAATGGACCAGGGCTGAAAATGGGGGATGAAGACAGAAAGAACATCAAGATCCTCCGTGGCACTGCTGAGCCTCTGGATCAGCTGAACCCGACAGTGCCTGACCTCTGTTACTCTCAGGCATTACTTTCTTTATTACTCATAGTGCAAAGCACCCTAACTATTTTTAAATACGTAACAGTGTATTTATAAACATAGAAAATATTTTTTAAAAACCTTAGGAACCTCCAAATCCATCCAATTATAAACTATCTCTTCTCCAAACATCAAAATCTACAAAACTCATATTCAAATGTCAAAATTTTTCAATAAAAAAATTACCTTAAGTTCAACAGATAAAAACTCCTACTCCTATTCCCAGCCCTCATAAAAGGTGAAGATTAAAAATGTAAAGCAATTTGATTTTGTAGCATTTTCTAATTTCTAGAACTCCAAAATGTTCATAAGTATAGTAAAACTCTAACGTAGTAACAAATTGTATGTCAGTTTTGTTTATTGAATTGTTTTGACTTCAAATTTAGTCATTAAAAAAATGACCAAGTCATTAAGTTGGCTCTAACCCACTGAAAAACAGTATTTAAATACTACCGGGGACCCCTCAATTAGGAGTAGGCCTAGATTTTCACTTCAAATGCCACTCTCCTTGATTTAATTCTCATGATGCAGGAGTAGATGGGGTATAGATGGAAAAAGTAGAGACTAGGTGGAAGAGCTTGAGCTAGCAGAGACACAGGTCACTAGTACTAAAGGGATACTGGAAGATTCTCTGTCTTTCCTAGCTTACATTTTCTGAGAATACATATTCTATTTTCTAATTTTAAGAAGGTTTCCCTTTGGGGAAGAGGCACCAATTTTATAACCTGATCAAAAGTGTGAGCATTTCTACAACTGTACAATAATTTCCTAACAAATAATTACACAGATTTTAGTGAGAAGGTGTATCTCTCTTTCAGCTTCAATCTACCGAGTCTTAATCATTTCTCAGCATTTATGTCACAAATTAACTTAAAATACAATTCACACAAACACCACAAAGCATGTGCCAATATATTAACTGGATGGTTCCTTTTATATGCAAAGAATTCTATGCGTGCCAACTCTGGAAAAATTGATTCATCTAACAACCAATTTGCTTTATTGTCTTTTATTTCTATATCTAGCTTCTCTCCTAACTTCCCAAGACTCCACTTTACATGTTAAGTCTTGATGTGGCCTCATCTTAGCTCCAAGAAATAAATGTCACACAGTAGCTGTGGGTTGATATGCAGACATCACTATGACCAAAGCTTTCCCTGATATCAGAGGAAGGGGAACATTTTTTTTTATAATTAGTATTTTGCTTCTTTTCCATCTTACCTCCAGAACTTCTGGGGCCCAAGCCACGTGTGTGGGCGAGGCATGTCTTCCAAGGGCTCCCAGCCATTCATTCCTTCACCTGGCCACCGTACACAGACAACTGACCTCTTGTACCCACTATACTTTTAACTGCAGTGTAACAAAGCATGAATGTTTGTTTTTCTTATTTTCAAGAATCAAAATTTTGCTACAAATAATCCAAGTATATATTAATGTGATAGGTGATTTTGGGGGGTGGGTTGGGTGCTCGGAATAAAACTCAGGACCTTGCACTTGCCAGGCAGCCACTGAGCCACTGAGCTACGTTCTTAGTTCTGATAGATGCTGTTTGGAATTTGTTTCTCCTTCTGTTGTTCAATATCCTACTAAACACATTGTTCTTAGGAATAGCCCATGGTCAACGCAAACATTTGGTTGCTAAGTGTTCCAAATATTTGTAATACAAATGAGGTTCATCTTCTTAAATACAGGAACTGAAAACCAGAGCTATCTGATTATATACTACAAAACAAAAGAATTCACTTGCTTTTCAAAGAATATATGCATCCTATTTTCGTGTTATAATTGCAGATATATTATGTTTATACTATAAACTAATTTTTAAATGTATGAAATATAATTAACTTTTAAAAGAAATAGTGCTCTGGATATTTTACAGGGTCATTTTCTTATTTGTTTGCCAATACTTTTTCTCACTTACATAAAGCATAATTACATCAGCATTTCAAAGGTATTCAATTTCCTTTATAAATCTAAAATTTATAATTTTAAGAAATAACTTCAGCATTGTTTCTTGTAGAAAGATACCTTGTAGACAATGACAAAGACAAGGAAATGTTCAGAGAATATGTCACATTAAATTATTACATTTGACCAGGAAAGTGTCCCTACTTGATGTTAGCCAAAAGGTGAGAAGCAACTGGAAAATTTCTTATTAAAGGAAGACAGCTTTGAAATATTTTAAAATATTATAGGTCCTTCAGCACTTAATCTAGCCCAGTAGAGAAGAAAGAAAAGCAGTGCTAAACTATTACCCACACAACTGAATCACCAAGAAAAGAGCATAGAGAACACCCCAGGGACTTCTCAATTGTTCATTTTGTGATACAACAACTGGGCACTCTAATCTTACAAGTTGTTAACATTCACCATCTTACCTGAGCGTTTCTTTATAGTTGTCCAATTCAGTCTCTGTCTTCTGGAGTTTTAATGTAAGGTCCTCTACTTGGCATTGTAAGTCTGAAATGACAGTGCATTCATCTCATTACAGCAGTTTAAGTGACCAGATATTTTTACACAGTGAGCCCAATTCTTTTAAAGTTGCCACTCAGTTTCTGAGGTATAATGCAGTGGTTTATTCCACTTTGTATGATCAGATGTTACGCGTCTATTGACCACTCACCCCTCTCCACCTAATACTCCACAGAATTAATAAGTCTTGATAGACCTGATTTGTTGACCTCTTTCTGTCCCTTACAACTGAGCTAGTTTGCAGACAACTAATAGGTTAACTTTACCAATGTTTTCCAAGGGAATTTATGTAACCAACACATATACGAATTTTTGCTTATGTGATTCACTACTGAAGTGCTTATCTTGTGGTCTAGACCCAAGAAGCACTTGGTTAAGTCCTCCTGGTAAAAACTAAATAGACAAATCATGTACCAGGCTTACCATCAAGACATTGTTAACTCTGGGTAGCATTTGAATGGTACCTTAATGACTTTCAAGGCCAAGACAATTCTGTAGAAAATGGGCTTCCATAGTCTTGAACTGGAAAATGTAAGCATTATTTGAAGGATGTTTCTCACGAAACTGTCTAACGTAAGTAGATGCAGAAATGAAATTGAAGTGAAAAGAACAAATGGCTGACTTGTCTAAGTTCTGCCATTAGCCTCTATGGGAGAACTGTGATTTGAACCATAGGCACTAGTGACTGTACATTATAATGCTGGTGTTCTTTTCAGTAATAACTGTAGGTGGAAAACACATACACAGATGTACCAACTGGTTCCTACAAAAAGGGAATTCAGAACACTGGATTCATAAAATTTCCATGTTCCATCCATTCCAGTATTTTAACAATATATTTTACATAATAAACTTTATATACAGCTATTCAATATATAAAGCTTCAATATAAATCTTCAGTCTGCTTTGTTTTCTTAAATGAGAAAATAAATTCATTCTAGACATGTTTCATTAATTTACTAGACATTTGTATAAATCTTTGTTTATTCAGTATTTCCACATATATTATTTTTATTCACAACAATTATGTGTACTAATCATGTATGACAATGTGGAATGACTAAGTGGAGCTAATTATCTGGCGCTTTACCCCAATATTTATCACTTTTTGAGATGAGAACACTTAAAATTTATTTTCAAATATCCTCAAGAAACAGTTATTAATTATAGCCATCCTGTTGTACAGTAGAGCTCCTGAATTGACATCACCTATCTAAATAAAAATTTTCACCCTTTAGTCAACATCTCCTCATATACATTATTTAATTTTATCCCTTTCACTGCGTATGAGTGCGAATAGCTGCATTTTCCAGATGGGACAAAAATGGGATCCTGATGTTTCCTAAAAGTTAATGACTGAATTAACCAGCAGTAAAAATGGATCAGGCTGTTAAACTGCAGAGAAGACACATTTGAGAGGAAGATCCCTCAAAACAAGATTCAGTGATGTACAAATTTTATAGATACTATTTATATCATTTATCAAGTGATATCATTATGTGAGAGAAAACATACACAAAGAAAAAATTTTATTGTAACATTTCAAAAAGGCAGTCTCATGAACATTCTGAAGTGTGTTGCTTTGTTATGAAGTGCAAGCGGGTTTGCAGAAGGGCTCCAGTCAAAAAAGTAGAGCCCGGAGATTTTGAAACATCATCTGAGGGATGAGGTGGAAGGAAGTCGAAGTTTATGTAGACGGTCTCTGGGCGCTGAGCAGAGTGTCTTTTCCATCTGCATCATGGCTCCCATGAAGCAGGAACACATTTTGTTTTTACAGGTGAGGATTCTAAGGATCAGAGTAATTAATTAACTTATCAAAGTTCACTCAGCTCATTAGACGTGACCCTGTGATTCAAACTCAGGTCAGCCTGATCCCAAAGTCCTCCCTCGTGGTGACTGTTGACATGTAAAAGCTACAGGGAAATACGATATTTGTCCATAAAAGTGTGGTTAGCATGGCTACAAATTAGTTATAATATTCCCAGAACTTTTACAGAGATACACCTAAGACAAATAAGAGATATTATGTTACATAAAATATGTAGTAAATTGGTAGAATATGTAGCTCTGGAGGATGATTGAGATTTTAATTTTTGAAAATCTAAAAATCGATATAACTAATGAAAAGATATGAGACACACATGGTGTCACTGTGACCAATTTTATGAGACAGACATCAAAGAGAACAATTATGCCTTCTTATTAAATGTCCCTTGGTTCTTTTGTTCCAAACTAGATGAAGCATGGATCTAAGCCCATAAATTTTGTTACTCTAGATGCAGCTAGAGTTAAAAAGAAAAATAAACCTCAAAGAATTGGTATTTGATATGTGAATTAATGCAGTTAATTCTCAATTACTTGCTGGTAGATGATAAAAGTGGCAGCTAATTCAAAGCTCATTTTGTTTTACTACTGAAAAATACTCTGAGGCTCACATTTGAATATGCTTGGGCATTACAGTTCTGAAATTTACCAGATTTGAAGTAAAATGAATTATGCCATCAATACCTAACCAGAAGAAAAGAAAAGCTATTATACTTTTCAGTATTATTCTCTCTACCTGTTCACTTAAATCTTTCTTTCTTCCATTTCAACATAACACAGATAGTTAAGCCTTTAATTCATATTACCTGGTGAGTAGAGAAACCACTTTCTCCAAGACTAGCTGCTGTGTATGCTGGAGCAAATATGAGTAAAGATTTGGATAGTACATAAATGTGTTACTTTAAGAACATCTGAAGGCTGTTAGGTAAACAGAAACCAATAATACAAGTAATGTCAACTGAGAACCATTTTATATAAGCAGAAAAAAGACCACATAGAGATGAGGGGAAAAATTACAAACAATCCACAATGTAAAAAGCTCGTCACTGCATACTTATGGTTAATATATTTTCATAATTTAAAAACTTTTATTTATGTTTTTGTAGTCAAGAAATGTAAGAGTTTTTTTAAAAACTACATAAGACGTATCTTTGCTGTTCTGAATGAGGTATAAGCATCCTAAGAGTTTATGATGGTGCTGGTAGGCTAGTACAATCCTTTTGTTTTCAGAAACAGAGTGCACAGATCCTGTCCTTAATAAATAAAAGAACACAGTTAGGATAAGCAGCAGAGAGATTAAGCCACCTGCACAAAACAGCTCCTTCAGTTTCTGAGGCAAGAAGTTCTTAAATAAGTGTATTGTTCTGTATGGTCCTTTTGTATGGTTAAATAAATTCAACTTCAATTTTCTGTCATTCAGCATGACATTGGATTATGAGGCAAAAGGCCCTGAATGCCTACAAAAAGAAAGGAAGCATTGGCTTTAAACACCATGCAGATGTAAGGCGGAACCCATGGAAACAATCCAAAATTATGTGACTGCGTTCTTTGCAGATATTAAATAAGAAGCAAATGATTTTAAATGAACAAAACAAAAAAGAGCTCTTAGCTTCTCTTCAAACGAAGCCAGCTGCTTGCTGGATAGCATTACACAGGCATCACATTTGGGGTAATTAGTCAGTTAAGAGAATCCTATTATTCTGGAAGGTTTCTAGAAACTACAAATAGAGTATTCATAGTTAACTGTTTTTTAGGATGACTAAAACTTCACTGGTCTCTTGGAAAATGTTTGGTTAATATAATACAATAAAGAAAATCTTTATAGTGAAAAGGTACTTTAAATTTCCTGATAAACACCAAAAAATGTAAAAATCTGATTTGAAGTACTATTTGGAAGAAAATAACTTGAGGTTCAAGAAGCAAAATGGAAGAATAAGCAGGCAGGACTGGCACTCAGAGATCCAGGATAACTTTTTAAAATAAAAAATTGAAGATTGTTTATATATAGTTTTTAATAGTAGAGGTACTGAAGACAAAGGAAAACACTCTAGCATGCTCTAAGCCAGGAAGATTTAGAGGTATTGTGCAGGACCTCTGAAGCCAGACTGCCCCATCTAAATCCTGGCTCTGTTTCCTACCAGCATAGGACTTGAGGCAGTTTGGTTTCCGTATCTATAAGGTGTTTATTGCAGCATAAGGCTCCTGTGAACATTAAATGATTTCATTTATGTGAAGAATGAGAACCGTGGCAGATGCATCAGGGCCACTACATAGATAGATGTTGGCTGTGACCACAGGAAAGTACTAAGGCCACTTCCCCACCTCTACTCTGAGTCATTGCTTCTCCCTTGACGATCTTTTTATTTTTTCTTTATTTTATTTTAAAATCTTTATTTTACCAAATTGTTAGCATATGTTTTCTGCACTTTGGCTTAGTTTTAGCAGTGGTTGGTTATCTTTGTAAGGCAAAGAGTAAAATAGGAGTTTTAACTTTATTTTCCCTTAACAACCTATACATTGTGGCAAAAATGTTAAAACTTATTAAATATGGATAATGGGTTCATACATATTCACTGTATTAGTCTCTATATTTTTCTGTGCTTGGAAGTTTTACAGATACATATTGTTTAGAGCAGGACCTTGTGGGGTAAAGAATGACAGCATGTTCTATACCAATGAATTAAATCAACTTTGCTCTGTGTATACACAATACAAAAGAAAATTAGAAATGGAAACAAATCATGTTGAGAGATGAGATGGCAAGTGGCTGCAACAGCAGTCAATGACGGCCCATCTGAACTTGGTGTGGGAAGTGGGGGAATGTAATTGGCTGGAGGGACCACGCTAACAAGGAGGTGTTTGGGTTTCAAGGTGAGTGACACAGAGACTTCCCTGCATATGAGAATGGTCTATTCTAAAACATATCTATGTCTATGAATTTAATGCATGCCTTCTAATCTGCATCATAGGTTTGAAAAAAATTGCTTTTAGCAGGTATTTTTAAAAAATTACACAAACTGTGTCAATCTAACTTTTCCCGTTTCCCGCAACATTATGATTTTGAGTCATATACATGTAGCTGTACATAGATATGATTCATCCCTTTCTGACTGCTACATAGTACTTCATTACATGCTATATCACATTTAACTTATCCAGTCCTA